CACGCAAAGGCAACATTTTCCTCCATGTGAAGCTTGAATTTGCTCCCAGCAAGAGCTATCTGTTTTTTATATAATTAACCAGTGACATCTACCTGGGCAGGTGTGGTCAGCACCATCCAGCTAGAGGCCTTCAATCCCTCCCCATGTTGTGTAAGTGGTGCCCCTTCTGCACATGCATGTGTACATTGGAATTTGCCTGCACCTGTGTGCTGCACCTCAGGGCGTCTTTTCTAAATGAGTCTGTGGGCTTACTTCATCATCCTCCTCTTCACTTTCCCCTTCAAATGTCCTTGGAGGGTCGTCAGCCAATAGCCAGTCACCAATTAATTTCAGTTTATACAAGATGCTTCCTTCAAGGATGAAGGTCTCGTTTATCAGTGCTTATTTCCACATAACTTGGCAGGAAAAGAAAAGACTCTCACAGGTGCAGGAGTTATGTGCAGAATTAATTAAGCGAGAGAGATATCGATGCCAGCAGCTCACAGGGTATGATCCTTCTTGTCTGCATTTGCCTCTCAATGGTCAAAGATTACAAATATCTACTGCAAAACACAGAATGCTTTCAAATTACTCCTTGATTTAGTGGGAAACATTTCCTTTTCTTTGCCAGCAGATAAATTGTTGCACGGGCTGTCACAGTTACCTTTAAACCTGAATGTCATTTTATCACCTGTCCCTATCCCGAGTGCAAGAAATGCATCTATAGATGGGTCTGGGAATATGAAAAAGGCGGTTGTAGAATGGCAAAAAAAAGGGATATGGAAACATGCTTACACCCAAGAAAATAGTTTAACACAGCAGTGTGAGCTTCGCACAGTAATCCTTACCTTTTTTCTCTTTGAAACTGAGGCAATTAATGTTATCGCTGATTCTTAGTGTGTGGTGGGTGTTGTACAAAGAATTCATTCAGCTCTACTGAAGGAAATAAATCAAAAAACTCTCTTTGAATTGTTTGTCCAGCTCAAGGCCCTTTTAGGAAAACGTATGGCCCCATTTTTCATCTTGCACATTCATAGCCACACTTGTCTCCCTGACCCTATTACTGAAGGCAATGCAGTTGCCGATCAATTTAATGCGGCAACTTTGCAGTTTGATTATACGAGGGCTTTGCATTCCTTTTTCCCTCAAAATGCTTACGCAAACATTTCAGCCTTGCATTCACTCAGGCTAAGGATATCGTACGAACTTGTCCAGAATGTCCGAAAGTACAGTCTCCTATCCTTCTGCAGGGGGTTAATTCGCGGGGATTACAGGCCAATGATTTGTGGCAGTCAGATGTTACACATATTGCAGCATTTGCACGGCTTTGCTTTGTCCATGTCACAGTTGATACATTCTCAGGCTTTCTGTGTACATTTCTCATGAGGGAGAGAAAAGCAGTGACATGCATCGACATTGGACTCGGTACTTTGCAACGATGGGGCTGCCCCAGCAAATTAAGACAGATAATGTTCCCAGGTATTCGGCTGCCAGCATGCAGAATTTTTTACAACAATGAGGGTTTCATCATCTCTTTGGCATTCCACATAACCCACAGGGGCAAGTTATTGTCGAATGGCACCAGTCAGTTTTAAAGGCTATGCTTTTATAACAAAAATGGGGAAATATGACACCCCAGGAACAACTAGATAAAGCTGTATTTACTCTCAATTTTTTGAATTTGGATCATTTTAATTGTAGTAGAGCAAGCTGTCATTACAGGACCACTGCCTCATTACATGAACAAAAGCCCAAAGTATTATACATGGATACACAGGGGGATGCTCAATGGCAGGGTTCTCTTGAGTTGTTAGCATGGGAGAGGGGGTACGCATGTGTTTTATCACCTGCAGGACCCCGTTGGCTTCCAGCACGTCTGGTAAAACCCTATCATGAGTGGGACCAAAACAACATGCAATCCGGTTCCGCAAATGAAAAAGCTGATCCTCAAGACTCCTAGAAAGAGGCTGAGGAATGCTGAGCGGCACAAGCCCTGCCTGGACATCACGTGGGGAAGCTTGAAAAGATTGCACGATGATGAAGGCTGTTGGAGATACATCTAATACTCAAAACATCTTCCTAGCCTATCTGACCATAGTGGTCAGCAACATTATGGTAAAAGGGGTATTTCACGGTGTGATGTGGGTCTCCTTGCTCAATCTACCTAGGCTCGTGTTTATTGGGCTCACATACTTGACCCTCCAATGTTAAGGCTGGTGACATGGTGGAATGCAGAAACGCCATGCCACTCTCTAACAATGATACTAATTGGATTGGAGGTTTTTGGCTGCCACCTCCTGGCTCTTTGGAGGAAAACAAAGATTGGATTAAAACTAACAGAAGCCAAACCTTTTTTACACATCTTCCACCTGTATGTCTCATCAACCAACCAATTAAGGGCTATTTACTATTTGTAGAAAAATTCCACTTCTGCTATCAGCAGAAGGAAAATAGAGGACACACTAGCAGGAATTTAACCTTTTTCTCTGTCGCTGGATTTGATCATGTCCTGATTGACAAAGAAGCAGGAGAATTGTCACCCTTTCAACTACCCATTTGCAAAATTTCACAAAGCACTACGTCAGACACACTTGCTATGCAGTGGATCCCATGTAGACTAACAAGTCCCAGGATAGTAAACAGTGGATTACGTGGGGTAAAGATTGGGGACTGAGGGGTCATTTGATCACCAACACATCACATCCCGTAAACTTTGCACAACCTACAAAAGAGACTCTTATACGGACAAAAGGGGGCCTCTCAGGACCGGTACTGCAAGCAATGTATAAAAACATTCTGACCGTAGGGTAAGCAAACTGACTGTAGGGCTGCAATGCCATTCCTAATTAGAGATATAGTACATGGACACTATTCTAGAAATAATTCCTTGTATCAACTAACTCTCACTGTCATAATGACTCAGTCATGGTGTTTTCCTCTCATCCATATGTCTTTTTAGCTGGACCTGACGTTAGGATTAGTGTGACTAACACTAACATTACTGTAGATAATCCCTACTATTTTAGTTGTTGTATTACAAATCAGAATCTATCTACTGTCAATTTATTGGTAATAATTCCTGTGTGCAGAAGGGCTGAATTATAGCTCCCAATGAACCTAACCAGAAGCTGGGAGGATGATGCAGCATACAGTAAATTGGCAAAACTGTTAATCCAGTCAAGAAATCAAACGAAAAGGTTCATCAAATGGTTAATTGCTTTCATCATCTCTGCCATCATCATAGCAGCTACCGCAGCCATGGCTACTGCTGCACTGGCCCATTCAGTACAAACTGCACATACAGTGGCCAGTGTGTTGGGTAATATATCATCATCAATGGCTATGCAAACAAATATAGACCATCAAATATTAGCCAGGTTGGAAGCAGTAGAAGCAGCCTTAACATGGATCAGGGACAGACACGATGCTATGAATAATAGGATGGCTTTAAAATGGGAGCATCAGCATAAATGATTATGTGTCACTCCATTAATATGGAATGACAGCCATTGTGACTGGGCACAAGTTCAAAAACATTTGCAGGGCACTTTCACCACAAACATCAATGATGAAGTTCAAGATTTGGCTGAAGCAATAAAATCACAATGTCCGAAACTCGATCTTTAGGCAAAAAAAGTGTCTGGTGGGAGTTGCCTGATAATGTTCAATGGTTAAATCCCAAACATTGGTCTGAAGGACTTAATTTAAGGATCTAGATATTTGTAGCAGTAGCAGGTTTTTTAACAATCTGTCTGTTTTTAATATTTCAAGTCCTCTGGAAGCGTATTGGACAAACCCAAAGACAAGAAGCCCGGGTCCTGGCCCTCTTCGCTGTGAACTCTGCATGTCAAAACAAAAAAGGGGGAGATGTGGGAACAAGCTGAGTCACTCTGCACCTGCATTTAGTTAATCAAAAGGGAGGATCGACCTGGGCTAAGTCCTTTGAGAGAGAGAACGTTATGTCTCAAAGTGGAAAACTGCTTTAACCAGCCTGCATGGTAAGCGCGTGTTTTTCTGTTGTGGCTGAACACAGACACCACTTGATGGAAGTGTGAATGTGTGGGATCAGGGCACTGGTTTGGGACGATCTTGGGAATTCCGGATAACAAAAAGAAAAACACTAGATGCTGTTTACGAGAGAATATGAATGAAAGGGGAACACCAAAAAGTGTTGGTGGACAAGTCCCAAAATCGAACTCTGTGTGTGCAGCCTCATTTTCTCCTTCAGCGCCCATACCTCTCCAGCTCTCTTGGAACCCCTTTAGGCACTCGAAGGGACTCTAAGGTCTCCCTGAAGCCTTCTCTTCTCTGGGCTGAATACCCTCAGCTCTCCTAGTCTGTCTCCAGAGCAGAGGTGCTCCAGCCCTTTGAGCACCTCTGTTGCCTCTCTGGACTTGCTCCCACAGCTCCACATCCTGATGTTGAGACTCCAAAGTTGGAGGCAGCACTGCAACTGGGGTCTCACTTAAGCGAAGCAGAGGGGCAGAATCCCTCCGCTCACCTGCTGCCCACTCTATAGGATGAGCGAGCCCAGGACACAGTGGGTTTCTGGTTGCTGGTGCACGTGGCCAAGTGCTTCTCATTCACCAACACCCCCAAGTCCTTCTCTTCAGGGCTGCTCTTATTCCATTTTCTGCCCAAACTGTGCTTGAGATTGCCCTGACCCAGGTCCAGGACCTTGCACTTGGCCTCATACCAACAGAATCACACTATGACTTTGGTGATGGTCTCTGGGCCTATGGCAATGACTCCAGCCCATTGAAACTTCAAGCTCCTCTTGCTGCCTCATGCCTTCTCAAGTCCCCCATGCTCCCCTTGATACAATCTCATCATCCTTGTATTGGGTTGACACAGTTTGAGACCTAAAACCAATTTTTCAAACCCCCACAAATTTGCTAAAATGTTGAGAGAAGTTTTCAGACAGGCAACAGACTCAGCATGAGAAAATTATATCAAAATTTATTGCTAACAAAATATAAACTATAAAGTAATATATACAACAATACTAACTAATTCTCCTATGATAAAACACTGTATTTACAAACATCACCCCTTCTTCCCCCATAAAGTCCAGGAGGAGAAGAAGTCTCTCCTTCACTTTCAGGGCACAGTTCCAAATTAATTTTGCGGCACTTGGAAGTGTCTCTTCTCTTATCTTAAGGCAGCAGTTCTGATTTGTTATAGACGAAAAATTTCTTTCTCTCTCCATCAAGGTGCGGGGAGCCTCTCTGACCCCCCCCACTGGCCACTTGGTTTCAACCAAGGGTTCACCCATAGGCTGCAAGTAGGGACGAACTCGCCTCACCATGGTCGACATCATGGGTTACAGGGGTTAAAGTTCTGAGTCTCTTCCCCGGTCCGTGGAGGTCCCTTTCCTCGGGGAGCAAGCTCTCGGCGGAACTCTCTAAGAGGTCCACCCCTTCCCTAGGCCAAAAGGTTCTGGAGTTTTTGGGTCAGTCCCACCCCAGAAACATTCCAGCTTGCCTTTCTCTCTGGTGCTGCTTTGAGTCTGCTGCCTCTGCTGCTTCTGCTTCAGGCACTGCTTTACTCCATGGCGTGCTTGCCACAGGATCCACCCAGCCGATCACCACCCCTCCCCCCGCGGTGAGGGGAGCCAGTGAGGCCAGCCAGAGAACTCCTAGGAAGTTTCTCTCTTTCGCTTTCTGGCTGCTGCATGTCTTAGCTAGGGGCTCAGCTTGGCTTCAGTGCTGCACTTGCCTCGGGCCAAAGCCAGTAAGGGGAAAGCCCTCTGGCCCCTGAGGGCGCTGCGGCCCCTTTGCTGTCTCTACCCCATGGCTTCTCTAATGCCAACTGCGCCAACAAGTTTCTTTTCTGATTTACGAAAATACATCATTTCCGCAGAGGCGTACCAAGCTTCCCATTGGCTCTACACTGGAATTCCACCCCTGGAACTAGCCATCTTCCAGCTCCAGGGGGGGATAATGGGCTCTCAACCCACGACATGGCTTTACATGACCAAGTTTGGGTAGCAGGGGGCTGCAGAGGTGTTCCTTGTTAGAAGACACCAGAAGTTGCCCTCATGTCATGCAGACTCAGCTTCAGGTGGTTCCAAGATAGAGCTGCTGCTGACCAAGGCTGAGTCTGCCATTGATGCTGGTAGTGTCTGCAAGAATGGATTTAAAAAGGGGTAAAAACTGCTGTGGAACGGCAACTGGGAGGGAGGGACGAGAAGATGAGAGAGCAACAGCCCTGCAGGCACCAAGGCCAGGGAAGAAGGAGGAGTAGGAGGTACTCCAGGTACTGAAGCAGCCTGGTGAGGCAGGAGCAATCCTGCCATGGTGAGGCAGAATTTTGCCCCATAGCCCATGGAGGTCAGTGGAGGAGCAGATACCCACCTGCAGCCCCATGTGAAGGACCTCACACCACAGCAGGTGGAGATGCCTTGAAAGAAGCTGCAGCCTGTTAAGAGCCCACACTGGAGTAGGTTCCTGGAAGGGGCTACGATCTGTGGAGAGGAGTCCATGCAGGAGCAGGACTTGACAGGAGCTGTCACCTGTGGGGGACCCACACGGGAGCAGTGTGTCCCTGAAGGACTGCAACCCATGGAAAGGGACCCACAGTGGAGCAGTCCTTGGAGAACTGCAGCCTGTGGGAAGGATCCACATGGCAGAAGTTTAGTGCAGGAATGCCTCCCATGGAAGCAGCCTCATGCTGATGCAGGGAAACAGTGTGAGGAGGAAGGACCAGATGAGACAAAGTGTTATGAGCTGACACCAATCTACATTCTCCATCTGCTGCAGTGCTTAGGGGGAGGAGGTACAAGGACCAGGAGTGAAGCTGAGCCTGGGAAGAAGGGAGGGGTAGGGGAAAGGTGTTTTCAGGTTTGTTCTTATTTCTTATTTTCCTACTCTGTTTAATTGGTAATAAGTTAAATCAATTTCCCCAAGTTGAGTCTGTTCTGACTGTGACAGTAATTGGTGAGTGATCTTCTAACCAATGGGATTTTCATCTCTCATAAGTTTACTTGTTCTAAAAATCCAAGCAGGAATTTTTCTTTCCCCTGTCCCACTGTAAAAGAAAGATGCTGAACTAACTGGCAGGACTGCATTTCAAGCTGATGGCTTTCTCTAGGGCTGGGGAGGTGATGAGTTTTTTTTCTTTCCCTCCTCTCCTTGGAAACAGGGACATGGGGCTTTTGTCTTAACTTAGGTAAGGTGTGTGTTGAAAAGGTCTGGGGCTGTTTTGCTCTCGGTTTGGTCATCTGGCTGTTTTCTGGCCTCGGCTTGCCTGCACTCTGCTCTGCCCCCAGCCCAGACCTGCTCGGACTTCACTGGAGAGGTTTGACCCACCTGCAGAGGAACTTTTTGGGTAGGGGGTCGCTCTTTTCCCTCCTCCGCTCCCGTATTTTGGCAGTGGTTTGTGCCCATCGACAAGGGGGGGGGGAAATCCTGGCCACAGCCAGCTGCAGACAGCATGAGTTTTTCATGGGAAGAACCTGCCCTTCTTTCCCCTTTTCCCCTTCCCCTCCTCGGTGTGGGGGGAAAATCTTCATTGTCAGCTTCTCCCGTGCCCTGGGGTTCCTGCTGGCAACACAGAGCGCTGCAGGCTCTGCTGCTCCAGTGATCCAACAGCGCCCCCTGCTGACCGTGATTGGAATTGCTCCAAAGGACAGAAAGTAATTGAACTGTTTCCTTTTTTTTTTTTTTTCTGAAGGGGACTTTTGGGTGCAGGATTATTGTTTAGTTGCTTTTGTGTTCTTTTGTTGTTCTACCAATACACATCTATCATTTAATAAAGAACTGTTATTCTTTCTCTCTCCATACTTCCTCGATTCGAGCCTCTTAATTTCAGATTTACAATTGCTGAGAGAGAGGAGTTTGGTCTACCTTATAACTCATCCTCCCTAGCAAAACACTTCAGTCTCATTAAACTGAGACATCATCATATTTTCTCCCCCTGTCAAAGAGGGGGAGTGATGGAGTGGTGTGGTGGGCAACTGACTAGCCAACATCAAACCACCACAGTTCTCTAAACCCCTTCATCACCATCTCCACCTTCCACAGACCACCAGTCACCCATGACCTCTCCATGTCCCTTGAGTCCACTGTCAGTGAAGGGTCTACCAGCACTGCAACATTTATTATTGTACTTTATTTCCCCTGCTCTCTAGGCATGCCAATGGCACAGGCTACCCCGCAACATCCAGTGGCCTGGCCAATCTACTTCCAAAGCTCTCCTACCAGGCCTGGACAGTCTGAAATTGCTTGTGACAGGCCTGTGGCAAGTCCATGATGAGTCCACAACAGGTCCATGGTGGGTTTCTGGTGGGCCCATGGTGGTCCCTTAGCACAGCTGCCAGTGACCCTCTCTGGGCACATCCTCACTTTCTGCCCACATGGTCCTTCAATGTCCCCAGCATTTTCTGTGCCTGCTTCAGGACCTCCTCTTCATCCACGCTGGGGAAGGCCTCGCTGGGGGTCATGGGGAAAGGGTGGTAATTTGGGTACTGTGTGGCCTTTCCATCCATGCCCTGTTTACACAACCACTGCATGTCCAGTACCAGGCCCCCCAGTTCTGGCTCTTTCACCTCCAGCCATTTGGCAAGGTCCATCTGCCCCCCCAGGCCCTCAACGGCTTCACCACGGCAGAGTACAGCAGTCACCAGTGCCTTCTCCAGGGCCCGGTGCACTTTGAAGAGGACCCAGTTGGGGCAGCAGCGCCGAATGTCATTGTGGGCTGCCTGCAGGTCACTCGTGGCCTGACGCAGCCACCGTAGGGCCTCGAGGATGGACGGAGTCAGGGCCATGGGCTCCTCAGTGCTCAGCCTGGAGTCAAAATCTTTCTGTCCCCAGTGGTTCTGGGCAGTGCTCACAGGTTCATACTGGACGCAGAGCTCCTGCAACACCTTTGGCCACCTGGCATCATGCAGTGGCCTCAAGGCTGCAAGGCCGGGATCCACATCGCCACTCACCTTCCATGGCTTCCCCTCTGCCACAGCCTCCTCCTGCAGCCTCTTCTCCAGCTCTGGTGCAGCACCCACCAGTGCCACATTGTTCTCCTCCAGAACAAAGGCCACATCCTGCGGCTCCTGGCAGACTAGCATTTCACGCAGCACAGACAAGGCAGATGCCTCCAGCTGTCCACCCAGCATGTTATTGATCTCCTGTGCTAGTGTCTCCAGGACCCTCAGCTGGTACCGGTTCAGCACCATCTCTGCATGCCGGATGTAGAGGAGCCGCTGGGCATCACCTGACAGGCACGCATGGATGACCTGTGACTGGGAGCTGCCCTCCACCTTTGTCCCATTGTGGAGCAGCACAGTGCAGATGTTCTCACAGCACTGCACTTTCAGCTGCTCCACTGCAAAGCCACCATCCCCGTCCACTCCCATCACAGCCTTGTGACTCTGCCACTGGAGCAGGGACACCAGCCCCAATCTAAACCATGGTGATACCAGGAGAGTCTGCAGACGCCTCTGCCCAGGGCAGTGAGAGCCATAGCGACATGACCATGGACTGCCCTCCTCCAGCTGCTGCTCTGTCACCTCTGAGAGTGCCCGTGGCCGCAGGTGTGGTGGTAGCATTTGCAGCAGCCACCTGGCATTACATCCTGTCACTGGCAGGTCAACCATGAACAAAAAGGTCTTCTTCAGGGCCTGAGCAGTCTCTGAGGGCAGGCAGTCATTGAAGCACAGCCTGTGGGATGGTTCTAGGCAGTCAGCAGTGCTCAGCAGGTACAGCTTAGCCACAGCAGAACAATCAGGGGGCTCTGGTGCCTCCCGCAGCAGCTGGAAGAAGTGCTGTGTGGCCAGCAGGACCACCTTCTTCTGAATACTAGTGAGGGTCCCACTGACATGGCTCTCCTGGTAGATTTGGGCCAGGACATGGCTGTAGTGAGTCAGTGTGGGGAACGTCACTACCCCAAGGTGTTGCAGGAGGTCTCCAAAGACAGCCACATGTGGGTCAGGCTTGAGGAGGTAGGGGTAAAAGTCAGCCTCATCTGGGAGCGATGTCACCACTTGCCATGGCCTGGCCATGTCTCCTGACTTGGCCAGCACCACAGGCAGCTCAGCAAGGTGCTCTGCATCTACCTCCTTCAGACGAGTCTGCAAGAAGCTGTACATGTTCTGGAGCACTTTGGCCCGTGTGATCACCTGTTGTGGCGTCTGGCAGGCTGCCCTGCACACATGCTCCAGGTTGGCCACCACTAGGGCAGTGGGTACCTCTACAAGGACTCCCATGGCCTTCAGGAACTTCTTCTCGAGTTCAAGGGACTCTGGCAGAATGGTGGCTGATGTCCACAGCAGCTCAGCCACATTTTGGCAGTGGTAAATGCTGCCTTTCAGGGCCACAGGCTTAATGCAGGTTGCAAAAGGGGGATGGAGGCTGCTCAAGCTTTGGGGGATGGCCAGTGGAGGCAGGAAGTGGATTGAGGCAATTTGCTCTGGGAAACCTACTGACTCAGTATTTTCCAACAGGGTTTCAAGCTGTTTGAGCATCTCCTCCTGTCGCTTCAGCAGGTTTGCAGTGTGGCAGGTAGCCTGAGCAGCTTCATGCTCTATCTCCTGGGCCAGTGCCACAAAATCCTCTACAGAGAGACTGGTGCGGACACCTGCCTCTAATAGAAACTCTTCAACTGCCAAATTCATCCCTAGCTCCTCAAAGAAAGATTTAGGCACAAAGCGGTTTTGGAGCCCCAGAGTGCAGAAGGAGGGCCCATTGATGTAAAAGTAGGAGGCTAAGCGCAGTGTACCACGGGCATCGGGTATAAAGGGCACATTCTGAAATGCTGCCACAACAGCCTTCCTGGTCTGACTATCACAGATGGGTCGCAGGACAAAGAACAACTGTACAGCTTCCATAAGGTCTTGCTGCGTGAGCTGGGACAGCCGGGGTAGCACAATGGTGATGAAGAGCTTTTGGTCATCAGTGTCCTTCCATTTCAAATCCTTGGCCAGCCACTTGTGGATTGGGTCTGATGTGAGCAGCACCGTATCTTTGTCCAGGTTGTACAGGGCTTGGGCACCCAGGGGCACTTCCAGGTACTGTCTGTGGAGCAACAGTACCTTGAGGTAGGCAGCCACTGCTACATAGCCCCCACCAAATTTCCGGAAGAGAGGCAGGAGCCGGAGCTGCTCCAGTGCACATGAATCCAGCTTTCCCCGCACAAAGCACAGTAGAGTAGTCACATGCTCCTCCTTTAAGTCCCCCCAGCAAAGATCAGCTCCAGTGTCTGCCAGGTGGGCCACTACAGCCCTGGGCTCTGTGACCTGCAGTGCCCTTGGCTTCAAGCAGAGGTGGGCAAAATGAAAGGGCAGCAGGGACCACTGGAGCATAGGGATGCCCAGTTTGTGCAGCACCTTTTCCACTTCTGAGTGACAGTTAAAAAGAACTCTGGAGAGGGAGGATAGTGGCACTAGGTGCTTTGAGTCTGTCTTATTCCCCTGAATAGGCAACACTGTCATGTCCTGGAGATGATCCATGAATGACTTCATGTTTGCATCCAACTCCACTGAGGCCTTTCCCTGTGCGTGGACAACACTGCCAAAGAAGGTCTACAGTCCCTTGAGCCACTTTTCCCCCTCTGGGGTCCACTTCAGCTGACCCAGTGCCTCCTGGATGAGTGGTGTGGCTTCTGGGAGGCCAAGCTCCTTCACAAAGCAAGGTGGGATCCAATCAGGAACACACTTTTGGGCAAAGCGGTGCTTGTGGTGGGGGAAGAGGTGGGCAAAGGAGTTTTTGAAGACTGGATGATGGACACTGAGAGTATTCAGATAACCATCTTGTGTGGCTATCAAGGGCAAGCCTTCCAGTTCTTCCTTGTCCACATCCTTGGGAGTACCTTGGGAGTACCTGCTCCATCCTGCTAAGTACTTCAGCAGGATGGAGCAGCTCTCCGGGGTCCCCAGGGATGTCTCAGCCAGCTTGCAAGGCACAGGCAGAGCCAGGGCCTTAAGGAAGCGCTGGAGAGAGGCTGGGCTTAAGGCAGCAGCGCTCACCTGGGCTTCAATGAACTGCTCATGGATCTACCGCAAGTGGGTGAATGCTGGAACCAGCTTCATGTTCAGGTGCTGTAGCACCTTCTGAACATCTGGGTCTGGCGTCACCTCAAGAAAGTATGGCTCTGTTAGTACATCCTTTCCACCTGGAGATGCCCAGGTTATTGTCACCGTGCTGCCAGGTGACTTCTCATGGTACACAGGCACCAGGGGCAGGCGTGCATGACTCAAGTGCTTATAGACCTCCCTCACCATGTCCTGAAAGATAGGGAGTACCCTTGTCACAATAGGGAACAACCGGAGGAAGTGTAAGTCCAGGTGCTGCTAGCAGAGATTCAGGGACTTGTACCAGAGCTCTTCTGGCCCCAAGGCTTTCCACTGCCTGGTGAGAAAGTCACAGTATAGTGGAACCACCAAGTGCCGGAGCAAGAAGTCATTCCAGGCTGCCTCTGTGCAGCCTCTGTCCCAGCAAAGACTGCGCCTGGCTGCATCCACAGAGAAGTTGGCATTGATGTGCACAGGCAGCCCGGTTTTCAACGGCAGTGGGAGGGTGCAGAAAGCTTTGCCTGTGATTGTGTTCAATGGCTCCAGGCAGGCAGCCACAGCCCCATAGGGCAGACACTCAAGCACCGGAGACTCCTCAGCCCCCTCCTGCACCCCAATTTGGGAGATCACCCTCCACACAGTTCTGGTCTTGGCCTTGCTGTTTTTGACTTTCATGATATAGGAGACAGAGGTGGGGCCGTTCCCATTCATGGCGTGGCTTAATCTTGCTTGAAAACCCCGTCTCAGCTTTGCATCACCATCTGTGAGCTCTGTTGTCACCCGCAGCCTCTCCACCAACTGTTTCCCATCTGGGGGGATCTCAGAGAAGACCACAGTGTGGACATATCGGAGGAAGGGCACCAAATCCTCACCTTCCTCAGCCAGTGTTTCCTCTATGTCCACAAGGTCTTGGTCTCGCACGACCATGTCAGACACCCTGGAGTTGGGAGCCTCAGCTGCAGTGCGGAGTGGCAGCCGGAAAAGGACACCCTGACTCAGGTTGAAGAGGGAGGGTAGGAAGGTGTCATAAACATCTGGAAAATTCTTCTTGAATTCAGGGTTGACAGCGAACATCCCACCAGGCTTCTCAGTTGTGGCTATGGGCACGTAGTAGAGATGGGGGTCAGAGACACACAGGGCACTGTCTCCAGTCAGGAAGGCTGGGCAGTCAGTAAAGCGGAAGACAGTGCTGAAGCCAAGGCCATATTTACCTGTGACATCCTGCCGGCCTTGCTTGCCGCCCACCCCCAGACGCTGAATGCCTTCAATGTCCTGCTGCTGGAAGGGCCTGTCATTGTAGATGCAGAGGGCAGGGCCCTGCAGGACGTTCCATTTCTCACTGAAAGTGGCTTTCACTGGGTGCTGCCGGCAGTCCCACACAAAGTGCACAAGCCCCGCACCAGCATCATCTGCATTCTGGAGCACCTCTTTCACCATATCAGAGGCCGATGCTGGGTACTCCTTTAAGATGTTCTTCAGACGTGTTGGCAAGTCTTCACAGGCACCAAATGGCTGTGCCCAGAGGGTCAGGTCATCAGTGATGAGTTGACTCCTCTCCAGTGCTCAGTGAAGTGTGGTAGGCACCCCACAGCGCAGGGCTGCAGCTCGGGACAGCTGTTTATGGCACAGGAGGACATCTCTGTCCAATTGCATCCATGGTGTATCGTTGAAGTGAAGCTTGTCCTGTGGATGCAAAATGCCCTCCTCATCAGGCAGAAAGAGTCGCTGGGTCTGGTAGGCATCTGGCTTGTTGCCATCTTCCATCAAGCCACAAGACACCAGCCGCAAGGCCAGAGCCAACTCCAGGGCAGGCAGCGGCTTTCCAGCATGTGTCTCTGCCAGGGTGCAGAGCACTCGGGCATAATCATCCCAGGTGAAAGTGTGGCGCAGCCCCACACACTCCCAGAGTTGGCCATAGGGCTTGTATTGCTTTTGGAGTTGATGAAGGTATCATGGCGAGGCTTCGCGAACGAAGATTTGGGAAGGCTCTATCCACATTTGCTACAGGCACGTTGGTGGCTTATGAGGCCAGTACGTGACAGACATATCCGATTGCAAAAGGCACAGCAGAAAGACTCCTTAGATGGTGTATTCTGCAATACACGGTTCTTTCTGCGCTGCCTTTTTTCCTCGAGAGTGATCCTACGTGTGTTCTCGAAGTCTGGCCAGAAGAGATGATACTCATAGTTCTTCAACTCACCTGCCTCATGCATGGTACGGAGGTGGTCTAGTGCCTGGAGCCAGGCAATCGGTACAGCATTGCGGAGCAGCAGCCGGTTCCACTTACCCCGCTCCCCGGTGTCCCACAGCCCCTTGCGGTTTGAGAGGATGCTGAAGGCCCCATGCACATGGATTGGTAGCCCTGAGATGACTGGCATGGGAAGGTGGCAGAAGACTTGCCCCTTCTCGCCATCCAGGCGCAGCACCCACTTGCCATCTTCAGTAAGGGCAAGGGGAAGGCCCACACCAGCCATGGAATGTGGAGGATGGAGTCCTGCCCGTGTGTCCTGGTGAAACAATTCCAGCAGTTCCCCATTACCCTGACACACCAAAACCAAGGAGTGCCGTATGGTCTTGGATTCCTCCTCACAGGCTGAGAGTTGCTCAACGGTCGCCCAGCTTGGGGGGTCCCCAGGGGACCCCAAGTCTTGGATCTCCTTTCGCCGCAGTGTGGCCAGAGGTATGGTATTCTCTGCATAGGTGACCATGTCTGGCAGCATCTCCAAGGACAGCTCCCTCACCTTCTTCAGGAAGAGCAGCAGGAGCCAGTTAGAGCCAAGGAAACCAGTGCCAAGGGACTGGATGCGCTCTGTACCAAAGGCCTCTGAGCAAATCTGTGATGTAATGGCTTCCTCTTCAGTGCGAAAAGGCAGGCGGAAAAGGCTCCCTAGAAAGGGTCCTGGCTCAGGCAGGCAGCACCCAAAGATACCATGCTAGGGCTGGAACTGCTCAGCAAAGACATGGAGGATGCGTGGTCGGCTGGAGAAGTCCAGGCGGATGCCAGGGCAGCCGGCCCTGGGGATGTGTTTGCCCAGATGGGTGCCATTTGGATCAAAGATGAGCAGTGTCTCCCCACTCAGCACTGTTGGCACATCTGTGATACGGTAGACAGAGCTGAAGCCCAGCCCAAAGCGCCCAATCCGCCCTGCCTGCCCCTCCTTTGTAGCAGCCCCAATCTGCGTGATGTTACGGAGGTCATCCTCTGTGAACAGGGCATTGTTGTAGACCCAGAGGGCTGGGCCATGGCAGGCAACCATGCCTGGGTCTAGCAGCCCAGAGGTGGCCTTTCTACAGCACCGGAGGTCCAGGAGGAAGCGGCACACAGTAGCTCCGGCATCCTCTGCATTCTGGACCATCTCTGTGAAGAGGTCGCTCTCTTCGCCATACTCCCGGAGGATGTTGCGGAGGCGTAAGGTGATGGGCTCTGAGGGGCCACAGGCTGTGAATGGCTCTGGCCCCAGCACCTGCATACTGAGCAGCTCTGCACCAAGGAATATGGCTGTGCTGGATGGTACTGCCTCATGCACCACCTCCTGAACATCCTCCTCATCCTCCAGCTCCATGTCTAGGTACACGGTAGAGGCAGTTGGGCAAAGGGTAAAACCTGCGCCCTCCGGAATCCTCACAGGAACCGGCACGGTGCCCTCGCCCTGGTGCCCCCGACTCTTCAGCCGCTCCAGGACAGCTACAACCACCTGCAACTCTGTGGCAGTGCCCGCTCTGGAGCTGCGTGTGTTTATGTCCTGCCCCAGGCAGCACAGGGCTGACACTGCCCTCTCCTCACTCACCCCCACCGCCACCCCCCAAGCACTGAAGAGGCAGCTGTAGGGCAGGAAGTCAGGGGGCACACGGGGCACCAGCATCCCCAGCTCCAGCTCCTCAGGATAGCCCAGCACGGCATCATGTGGCAGGACAAATCCAGACCCAGTCCACACCACAGCATCATCCGGGGCGGTCCTAAAGACCTCCAGGTTTTCTTGCATGTGCCAGTAAATGGGCTGGAGAGCGGAACCCACCTTATCCATGTTCCCATGCCCTGCCAGCTTTCTCAGCTGCTCCCACACTCTCTCTGGTGGTGGAGTCTGGCTCAGCCCCAGTTCTTTCTCTGCCTCTGGCAAAAAGGCATCAGTCAGGGGCATGGCAAACCCCACTAGGCACTGGTACTGAGTGGATCGCAGCTCCCTGGGCGGCAGGAAAGGCTGCCCAGGCATTCCAGTGCACTTGGAGCAAGGTACCCACGGCAGGGTCTGAGGCCTCTGGAGCTCTGCAGCGCTGAAGCCAGCCAGTGCCTTGGTGAGGTTGCAGACCTTCATCAGTGCCTCAGCCCTGTCCAGAGCCACTGTGTCACCCTGACTCACTTTTGCTGCAGCCGAGAGGATGTCTGAAGGCAGCAGGTACCCCTCACCGTGCCGCAAGCCCAGGGCCCTCAAGGTACGGAGGACAGAGAGACTGTGGAAGACAGCAGGAGGAAAGCGCTCAGGTCCCAGCAGCGCCTGCAAAGTGCTGTCACAGGGGTCATAGAGGTCTCGCGGGCAGGCAGGGCCATTGGGGGTCTCCAGGAAGGCCAGCTGACTGCAGGCTTGCCGGAGCAGGGGGCTCTGTGCAAAGGCAACCTCTCCGTGCTGCAGCACCCACAGTAGCAGAGCCTGTGTCTCAGCCGCCCGCCCCTCATAGGCGCCTTGGGCCACGGCTTTGATGGCATTCAGCATAACGTGGGCTGCACTGATGAGGGGTCTCTGGAGCCTCCCAAGGAGCTGCTGGTCAGCTTCATCTCGGCACTGCAACATGGCCTCCGGCAGAAGCACATCTCTGGGCAGCTCCAGCTCTGGCTCCAGCATCGGGGTGGCATTAGCTGGTACCAACTCCATGGACTGTGGGGTGGCCAAGCAGGGCAGTGGCATAAAGAGAGGCAGAGCAGCCAAGGTGGCCCTGTCCTGCTCTGTCAGGGATGGGACATCTGCCAGGTAGAGCCAGAGGGTGACCACATCCACATCAAGCAGC